AGAGTCAGACCTGCCTCAATTTACCCAGTTCTAAATTGCTTTTAGATACTCTCTCCTTGTCACTGATCTTCCAGTCCTGACTTCCCCTGAAGTCTTAGACTCAAGTCCTACAGTATCTTCTCAGAGGTAGGTCTCATAGGGTGTAATATTTTCTGAAACAAAGATTTTTTAAATGATTAAAGCTGTGATGGAGAGGGGGGGATCTGCTGCTTGGGTAACAGCCTATCCTCCATATTACTTTACCCAGGCTTCATGCTCTGGAGGGCACACTCCTCAATTTAGAGCATGTTACCATAGTCTTTCGAGACTGAAGGATGCCTATGCTATGCTATATACACTGAGTGTTTCAGATTTGTTTGTTTGCACTGCAAGCCACTGGGATATTGCTGAATGAAATAAATGTCAAGCAATCATGCTGTCTAAAGAAACAGGGTAACTAATTTATCCTACAATGAAACAGACACCATGACCTCACTGATGGCCAGGATATGTGCAAGATATATAGCAATACCTCAACAAAGAAAATATACAGTTTGTTACATTTAAAAATTTATAAATGTGAATGTATTATACAGATTGCTTTTTAAAGAAGGCAAGGATTTAGCATTTTAATATTCTTGAAAGCAAAATATTAGCAATTGCCTTAATAATAAGCACTTGGTTAATGAAAATATCTGCCTTGCAGCCTGAAATAGTAATTTTCCTTCCTTAAGAAAAATAGATGAAAAAAGCAGCCTTGTAACTCTGTAGAACAAGGAATCAGTGTCTATGGCCTGAAGCCTTTATGTAGTTACTTTCTATTAATCAGCAATGAGGAAAAAATCTGTGTGCTGTTTAATTGGCTGAGAAACTAGGCCTATATAATAAAAGGGATTTCACTCTGTGATAATGAGCAGCTGCTTAGTAGTGTACTGTATATGTAACTGCACTAAGCAATTTCTATAAAATATAGAATATGGTTAACTTTCTCATTCATTGTATTGACATAAAACTCCTTGAAAGTCTCAATTAACACAATGGAATGCCACCTTATTTCAAAGGCAGTTTAAAATAACTATTCAGAATACTTATTATTATTATAATATATAGTGTTACAATTTGTCATACTTTTATTCCTCATACATTTTTATACAGGCACACTTTTTTTGCATTATTTACACTTAAGTAGACCAACATAAATTTGACCCAACTCCGGGAGGCAATGGAAGACAGGAGGACCTGATGTGCTCTGGTCCATGGGGTCACGAAAAGTCGGACATGACTGAATGACTAAATAACAATAATAGAGTCTATCTAGATGTCAACTGGGAACTGGTCCCAGAATATTGTTCAGCTTTTATGAATGAAAGATAGAGGGCTCCTAAAAATAGGCATGTAGCTGCCTTTAAATTAAATTAAGCAGCCAGGTATAGTAGATTATTTGCAAAAATTATTATTTTTATTTATTTAAGGGGCATAGTGTACCAAAGAACCATGTGGCATCTAGGACTGACAAACGTACTACAGCGTACAAAGACCAACTTTTTCAGGTGCATAGATGCAGCTTCAGAACTTAATAAGAGTGAGGATTTGATTGGGGGAATTAAATTTAAATGCAGAATTATTAATTTTGACATAATGATGTATAATGCACACAGCAACTCTTCAAAAGCAGAGTTTAAATTAGTACTTTATAAAAAGCATATAATTACTGTTCCATGACACCCCTTCCTCCCTATTATAATTAAAGTTTCTCCTTTCCGGAAAGTAGCAGGATAGATGCTTTTTCAACGGCTTTTTCATAAAGTGGAATGTTAAACCATTAGTCAGACAAAACACAGACCTCTCATAACAGCCTTGTCCCAATCCAGTAAAGTACTCACAAAAGCACACAAGGCAGTATTTGAACCAGGCAGTATTAATTCTCCGTATATTGAAACCACACAAAAACAATTGTAGAAGTTAGCAAGAAGTGAACCGTTGCCTTTAAACAGAGTAAAATTACCCTTTGTTAAGTTAGAAACATAATTTATTTTATTATTTATTTATTTAAAACATTTATAGCTCTTCTTATATCACATGATTTAAAATCAAGCAATTTAAAACACAAAATCAAACCATTAAAACCATTGCCCTAAAGCTTGCACAGGACACAATCCTCAAGCCCCAAAGGTTCTAAGAAACAAGTATTTTTGATGTAGAAATTACACCTACGTCAGTGCCAAATGAGCTTCCAGTTGGGATGCTACAGCAGAAAAAGCCTTGCCTGCCCAGTTTTTGCACATAACTAACTGTTCTCAATTATGGGACACAGAGTGTGCAGGTTTATAAAGGGAAATGCACTCCTTCAAATATCCAGCTCCCAAGCCATGTAGGGCTTTGTAAATCATTGTCAACACCTTGAACATGACTGGAAGTGTATTGGCAGCCAGTGCAAATACTTCAGAACTGGTGTCGCATTCCTGTTAGGAGTCTATCTGCCGTGTAGTGCACTTGCTGCAACGTCCATGTCATCTTCAAGGGCAGCCCCACATAGAGTGCATTACAGTAGTCTAATTGGGAGGTTCCCTGGGCATGAACTATTGTGGCCAGGTTATTCCTGTCCAGGGATGGTTGTAGCTGGCAGTCCAGTTGAAGCTGGCCCCTGGCACTCCATGACACTGAGCTGACATGAGCCTCCTATTACAAAGATGAATGTAGGAATAACCCAAGACTACACATCTGCTCCTTTAGGGGGTGCATGACTCAATTCATAACAGGTTTTCTTCTCAACTCTCAGATCTGGGAACTAACAAAGGATAGAACCTCCATCTTGTCAGGATTCAGCTTCAGTTTATTGGCCCTTATCCAGACCATTATAGCCTCCAAACATTGGTCTAGCACCTGCACACCTTCAGCCAACCCCAAAGATAAAGAGATGTAGAGCTGAGTGTCATCAGCATATTGATGGCACCCAATCTCCAAACTCCTAATGATCTCTCCTAGCAGCTGATATAAATATTAGACAGCATGAGAGAGAGAATGGATCCCTGTGATACACAATTTAATCACCATGGGGCTTACCAGAAATCCCCCAATGCCACTCTTTGGAATCAGTTACAAAGATAGGAATGAAACCACCATAGTACAATGCGTTGCATTCGCATTCCATGGAGCCTATCCAAGATGATCTAGAGGTCCAGGAAAATTACCAGGGCTGTGCTCCCTCTGTATTTAGCCCAGAGCATGTCATAACTCTGGGCAGTTCAGGGCATTTCAGTATCAAAACCCAAAATGAAACCAGATATACTGTTGAAAATTGAGACTCCCAGGTCAGATGGCACTCATAAACTACTAGAGAAGAGCAAACAACATATATGAATAGCATAATCACTAATAAAGAATATGGGTTAAAACTGAAAGAACATCTGTTTGCTGATGTATACACAAGGAAAAGGAAAGCCCTCTGCTACACAATACATATGTAAGAAGTATGAATCACATTGACAGTACAGTAAGTTCAAACCATTAAGGAAGGGATGGAACATTTAAACATTGCATATTTTGGTGTGACTAAAGTGGACTCAGAAAGGATTTTTTAAAACAGATAAATATAAGTGTTTACTTTGGAAATGAGAAACTTAAAAAAATATGTGGCAGAAATAGTGAGGTGAGATAATAGCATGTGCTATGTTGGAGGAGAGCATTATGGATGCCATGAACCACAACAAAATATAAATAAATAGGCTCCAAACTGAGTTTCAAGTCTCACTGCAAGGTAAAATTATTTAACTTTTAACATATAAGACTTTATGGAAAGGATAATAATGCTAGGAAAAGTACAAGACAGTAAGAAAAAAGGGGAGACTAATACAAAATGCATTGACTCAGTAAAGGAAGCCGTAGCCTTGAGTTTGCTAGACCAGAGAAGGGTTGTTAATGACAGGACCTCTTGGAGGTTACTAGTTAATAGGGTTAACACAAGTTGGAAATTAGCTATTATCTTACCAATTTTATACATTTCGTAGGGCTAGCCTTAGGTCTGTTTCAGGAATAATCATACAGCCTTGTGGCACCTTGAAAACTAACACTTTTTTTGATATATGATGTTGTAGTCTTCAGCTTGGTTCTTCATACGCATTTGGCACAATTAAATGTGCCAGTCTTTTAAGGTGCCAAAAAACCACAACCCTTTACGGACAGATTAATAAGAAAAATTACATGCTTTTTTGTTTAACTCTCACTGAAGAGCCAAATGCCTTATGAAGTATTACCACAAAGTGTTGGAAACACATTTTAAATATAAATTGAAACTTAACAACCGCATTTCATTTGATGTTATAAACTACAGCTATGGAATTAGACAGATAACAGTTTTTTTTTCTGCTTGCAAGTGACGATTTTTCAGTCTCATCCTACGGCACTGTGTTGAAATGCACCTTCCAGAGAGATTTCCAGTGAGAGGACAGGGAGGGAAAGAGGAAGAGTTCCTAAAACTTGACCTGCGATTTTATTAGCAGTTTCGTGAATGGAAAGAGATCTGAAACAGAGAGAGCTTTAAAATAAAGCTTGACTAAAAAAAACACAAAAACCCAACAACACTATTTCACACGCAAGGTCCAGCAGCCCTCTGCCGCACACGTGACAACCCTCTTCCGGAAACGTTCCCCGGAGGCTGCAGGCTGTCTCAAAATGGCGGCAGCCGTCACCGCGAGTTTCCAAGCTGGCAGGCGCCTACTTTGGGCCTGGCCGGGTCGCCTCATCACGCGAAGGTCAGGAAATCGGGTGAGTGCCGAATTGCTGGGGGGGGGGAGGGAGCGACGAGCGCTGCCTGGCCCGCTTGGCGGCTCTTTACTGTCGACCATGTAGGTATTCGGGAATGAGGGTTCTCTAGCCGCTTCTCCTCGGCGCAGGGCATGTTGGGACATGTAGTCTTCTCGGAGTATGCGGGACGCTGGTCAATGACCCCTTTCCAACGGCGAGGGACAAAGAATCGATAGTGCAATGCATGCTGGGTTTTGTAGTTCGTGCTGCCGGTCGGAGGTTTCGTCACCTGTCAGGAATCAGTCCGGGTATCCGTTTGTAATACCAGGATTGAAAGCTAGGCTATATGAAATAAGAATGAATGGGTGTAAAAGTGCATTTTCTTCACTTCAATATTCTAGAGTCTCCATACACCAAAGAACAGGACCGTTTTCAAGACCTCAGTGTATGGTTTCCAATGAAGCTGACCTAACGTTTAATTTATTATAAGTTGATTTCTAGTATATGGGAGGTGCATTCACTTTTTAATATCATGTTATCAGGAGGAATGTTCCACAATGAATGGACCACCTTTTTAATATCATGTTATCAGGAGGAATGAATGGACCATTTCTAATTTTGTACTTACATTAACCAGCACTGCTGATAACAAGGCAGTTATGTCCAAAGTCAAGAATAAAGTGTGTGTTATACGGCAGAATTTTGTTTGAGGCAACTTTTACCATCTTGGATGTTGCAATAAAACTGTAATAGTGGGAAGAGGTCCTGAGGCTTAATTTTGAGTTAGGAGTTTTTTTAACTGAAATCTGTTTTGGGTTTCAGAGCTTGTGATACATTAACAAGAAATATGCCGTATCTTGACATGCTGCTGTCTTCATTGAGTTATTGCAAGCCCCTCCAGTATAAGTAGTTATGAGACAGGCTCCAATTAGCTGTCTGCATCATAAGTGTTTGCCCACCTGCCAAATTTACAAGCGTGTCCTGCTGCTCCTGAACTTCTGTTAGTGAGCTGCCTCAGTCATATTCTTAGCCAGTGTTGGGTAATTAGAACAAATAAAATACAGGACTCTTCATATAACAGAAGAATATCCTGCCATGTACAACAGTTCTTGTATACCATGGTATGCCTGTAGGATTCCTCCTTATAGACATGTAGGCTGTGTGGTTGATGGAGGAGGCAACCCATACTGCCTATGGGCCATTCGGGTAATGCTTTCAACACATTAGGGGTTAGTCTGAAAGTCAGGACTCCTTCCTGTCACCTCTTTCTGTAGGAATTAATGTTTATTATCCTAATAGTTTTGTTGTAGTCAGAGTCTTAGGAACTCTTTATTGCTTTTGTGCTCTCATACAGCAATTATGGGGCTTTAATTTCACTCGGTGTCATTTTATAGTTAATCTTGTATATAAATGGGAATGTGTTTTTGTATCCCATTGTTTACTATACATCTTTCCTAATAGCTTCTACATCTTGGGAGAAGTAGATTCAGAGCTACCAAGGCAGCCCCCCAAGTGGTTCTAAATGTTCCAGAAACAAAGATATCTTCTCTGGAAAATGGCCTCAGAGTAGCTTCTGAAGATTCTGGTGTTTCAACATGCACGGTAAGCCACAGTTGTGAGTATAACGCTGCCCCTGCTGCCTCTTTTGATTTTTTAAAATATTTTCACCCCAGCTTTGAAAAAACACACAATATTTAAATGGTGGTTTTCAGCACATCCGCTTGGAAGTACATTTCAATGAAATCAGTAAGCTCATTCAGTCATTAGCAAATCATGTATACTTACTGTGGATAGAAGTGAGTATTCCAGGCTCAGCCCCACTATTTCTGGTTTCTCTGCTATGTGTGTGGGCTCTCCAAAATAGAGACAGGACACTGGGCAGTCAGAGTCTCCCAGGTCACCTGGAGAATCCTTATGGCTAGTGAGTGGAGCCTCTCTCCTTTGAGCCTCCACATGTAGGAGAACGATCAGGCTGGAAAAAGAGGAGTGGGGTGGGGTGGGAATACTCCCCTCTACAAATGGTAGGTATACATGATTTCCTAATGAATTAATGGGTCTCAGATTGACAGTGATGCAGTAATGGGAATGTTTATTTGGCATAGAATAGATTGGTGCATGTTTCTTATGTGCAGCAAAAGAGGTATGGTAGTAAAATCTTCATGCTAAGGTCTGATCCTGTGAACTGCTGCCTCAGTGGACAGGCCTTTCTCTTGGTGGGTTGCTGTTACCTGTATTTTTACAGTGGTGCCTCACATAGCGATCGCTCTGTATAGCGACGAAATTGCTTTGTGACGGAGTTTTTGCGATCGCAAAAGTGATTGCTTTGCGATGGTCCCTATAGGCTATTTTCGCTTTGCGATGATCGCAGGGAAGCGATCATCGCAAAGCCCCCATTTTTGGCCAGCTGATTGGCAGTTTCAAAATGGCTGCCGGGTAAACAAAATGGCCGCCCCCTGTTTTCAGGCATGGATTCCTCGCTTTAGAGACACCGAAAATGGCGCTGCTATGGAGGATCTTCGCTTAAAGGTGAGTTTTAAGCCCATAGGAACGCATTAATCGCATTTTAATGCATTTCTATGGGCTTTTTATTTTCGTTTAGCGATGTTATTGCTTAGCAGTGATTTTTTCGGCACGAATTAACATCGCTAAGCGAGGCACCACTGTATGATGATGCTGGAAGTTCACTCAGGTTGTCAGACTGGTGTATCTGTGAAGTTCTTGATAATTACCAAATGAAGTTTTAAAGCTAACTCCAATGTTTGTCCTTCTTGAAATGGATGTGTTGAGATGAACTGGACCTGTTACTCACAACTAATTGAAATCCAGAGCTAGGAAATAAAACATTCAAAGTACAGCTGTTATTTTTAGGATGGGGAGAGACAATAAAGTTACATTTAAAAAATAATGAGTGGGAATGAAATATTGGTATAATATACAGTATTACTCCATTGCAGCAAAAACAACAGAGTGCTTATCAATTGTATTAGAGATAATATTTTATATTTTAGAGATGCTTGATTGACAGATTAACAGAGAATGAAGCAAAACATTAGAGACTCCTAAAATATATTAGATATGCTGGAAGATCAATATGATAACTCCAAAGATGTATCTGTTACAAGTATTACTCCATTTTCCATTTCCTAAATGTAAAACATATTAAGATATCATATTAAGCAAACTATATGCTCATATCTCTCTTGCATGTTTCAAATGCTATTTTATTGGTCAATAGACTAACTATTTGTTTTGAATAAGGTGGGACTTTGGATTGATGCTGGAAGCAGATATGAAAACGAGAAAAACAATGGAACAGCGCATTTCCTGGAGCATATGGCTTTTAAGGTAAGTCTTCAGAGTAGCTTTTCTATATTGCTTCTGCCGTTAAATATTTATTTGTGTTAATCTTTAATTCAGTAGTCAACCATTGTGCCTAGCTTCTGATTAGAAAATTAAAAGAAGCATCGAAGTGAGTAAGCAATTTAGAATTCCTTCCAGTTATGGAAGGTGATTTGTATGTGGTGAAATAACCATGTCCAAAGTATTGAACACTTAGTCATTTTAAGAAATAGGTATACATTTTAGGGAGGGACAGGAACTTTACAGCAGGAGTTGCTTGGATTCTTTATAAGCTTAGTCTTACAGATTCTGTTTCTTCGTGGGAAGGCTGAGATCCACCAACTGGGCCAGAACCAGGTGTAAACCTGTCACTTAGGAAAGTAAGATAGAATTAAAGGACAAGGTTTTAGTATCAGAATGTAGCATGTGCTAAATTCCTCTTGATTTCAGAAGCCTAAATTGGGAAGAAAAGGAGACTTTTTTGCTTGCTGTTGTCGAACCCCTGAGAGTCAGATCTAGGAATGGGATTTCCTGACTTCTTGGACTGTAAATCTCATATTTCACCATATGGGGAGTTCTACTTGACAGACAGCTTAATGTGGTTCACCTGGAAGAAAGACCTCAGCTGGAAGGCTCTGAGCCTGAGCCGGGCCTAGCTCTGCCTAGCTTCCTCTTCAGAAAGAAAGCTCCCAGCTGGCACCAGGGCAGGAACGTGGTTCAGGAGGTTTGGATTTGTAGTCCAAGAAATCTAAAAATCCCATCCCTAGTTAGATGTTACTTATTTACTGCACATCACCTGGAGATACCTGATAGATCCTGATCTGCTGTCTGCCCAGTTCTGCTTTACAATAGGCTACCAGTATCAAGCTCATTTTTTGTCAATTTGCTGAGAGATCTCTCCCTGATGCACTTTTTGTTCTAACCAGCAAAAGCTGCTGTCTCTGCAGCCACAACAGCCCCTAGAAAGGTCTGCTGTTTTTGCATGAGAGGGAGCTCTGTCATCAAATGTCAAATCAAATGTGAGGCCTATAGCCCAGTCATTATGTGCCAAACTTGCAGAAGGCTCTTTTCCAGGGCATGTACCTAATACATAAGCACAGGAAATGTCTAGACATCCATCAGCTTTCAAGCAGACCTTTCAGCTTGTACCAGAAACTCTGTACCTGAGTTGCAGGGAATAAGGAGGTCTGTAAGCTGAAGGGTTATCTGCTACTGTATTCATGCAAGACAGCCCAGTGCCTTTTTGTAGGCTTTCAGGGAGCTACTTCTGTTTGGCTTAGCTATAATACTAATTTCTGTCTTTTTGGTCTGGACAATTCAGAAGGAATTTAATATAACAATGGCCACCTACGTTTGTTGATCTGTGTCCTTATGATTTCTTATTTTGACCGGATCAAAACTGATGGATCAGAGATCTTGAGACACAGGTCAACCTTTCTGAGAATTGCTGAAGATTTTGCAGCCCAAACTTCAAATGGCTGACTGCTGAAATGGGCTGAACAAGGCTGACTCATTCATAAAATTGACACTTAGATCACATGTAGGGAGGGGTCATGGCCAATCTATTTATGTAATCTCATGTGTTTTTTTTTAAAAAAAACATTTTAATGGAATTCCATGCTTCTGTTTACAAAGGCCTTAATTTGTATGTTGATTAGTTAGACTTGTATTCAACTGTGTCTTCAGGATCCAGGGCAAATAATATATTAAAGATGAAAATATTATAATTAGTATTGCAACTGTAGCCTCACCCACCCCAAACTAATTTATAAAAGAACATCATTCACAGTTTCCTAAAAACATTCGGGTTTTGGATACTGGAGGAAGAAGAAGCCATAGGTGCTAGATAGTCATTTTGGACTGGCCAGAAAGGGACTTTTAATTTATGGGAAAGTAATATTTAAACAAATGTACTTAAGAGGCCTACTCATTTTATGTGGGCTGTTTTCTGTGTCCTGTAGGACCTCATTGGCATCTCCTGCCGACAACTTTTTCATTTGATGGGAAAGCAGCTATATGGCTATCTGTACTCGGCATGCCTGTTCTGGGGGATCAGAAGATTGCCCTCATGGAATCTTAAATATACTTATTACTGTATTCTAATGTGCAAAACAAGTGCACTGTGTGATACAGTGGTGCCCCACATAACGAGCGATTCGTTTAACGACGAATCCGCATAGCGATGTTTTTTGCGATCGCAAAAGCGATCGCATTGCAATGTTTCTAATGGTAAACATTGCTTTGCGATGATTGGTAAGCATTTCACTTACCGATTTTTGCATAGCGAGGTTTTTTTAACAGCTGATCGGCGGTTCCAAAATGGCCGCTGGGTAAAGAAAATGGTCACCTGCTGTGTTTTCGCGCCCTTTCTTTGCTTACCGGGCAGTGAAAATGGCGGCTGCATGGAGGATTTCCGCATAACAGTGAGTTTTTTGCCCATAGGAACGCATCAAACATGTTTTAATGCGTTCCTATGGGCTTTTTGCCCTGCATAGCGATGAATCCACATAGCGACGATTGTTTCGGAATGGATTATCGTCGCTATGCGGGGCACCACTGTATCATGTGGAAAGGACACACATCATGTAACATGTTTCACTACACAGCTTCGCTTCCAAAACAAAATCCCGTGGGCATCCTTGGGTTTTCAGTAGTTATTTTATTGAAACAAGTGTGGCAGGCAGCTACATATTTTTTGGTAAATATCAATCAGCCCTTTGCCACATGATGCAGAGGTTTTGAATACTGCCATTTTCTAATATTTATTGTGGATAGACTAGAAATAGGGAATCCACCATAATTCCAAGGGGAAAAAACACCTTATGGCTAGATCTGTTTGGAATCACTAGAGTAAAATGATTGCTGTATAATTTTTGGTAGGGAAATAAAGAACATAATTTAAAAAAATCTCTCACAGTTACATTTTTGTTTTACCTTGAAGTCTTGTCATCAACAGTTGAAATAACTCTATTTATTTATATCACAGGGGACAAAAAAGAGATCTCAGTTAGACCTAGAACTAGAGATTGAAAACATGGGAGCCCATCTTAATGCTTACACATCCAGAGAGCAAACTGTGTACTATGCAAAGGCTTTCTCAAAAGACTTGCCAAGAGGTGAGTTTCTGGGGACCTCTGATGAATTGTCTCTACGAAAGGATTTGCGCTTGAAAACAACCTAACTAGGTATTTCCCCTTCAGCAAAGCCACACACTAAATAGAGTTTCCTGCATGTTAGATTTTCTGTTGTCCTCTGTACGGCATATTCTTCCACACTATTCTGGAAATTGAGGCCTAAAGCATCTGATTAGAATACTGCTGCCCTTATAATGTCCAAATAAGGGCCAGAATTCAGTGCAGGAGGACATGCACTGGCGGAATTGTTTTTGTTAGGAGAATTGGGAGCAGAGCAGTTACAGCTTCCCACTGCAGTATCCTCCTCACACAGCCCCCTAGAACCTGCTGTAGGAGTCTAGGAAACCTTCTGGAGTTGGTCTTTGGGCGGCATTGAAGGGGGCAGGAGGAAGGTGAACATTCCTTTGTGCTGGATTGAGGCCAATATGGTAACATAATGCAATCATATGTATGTGGGGGGAAGCACAACCTTTGAGACTCAATATACACAATATTGATACTTGATCATTAATATATTCCTTGGTGGGCTTCTTCATTTCTTATTTTAGTGATAGAGGTTGTGTATAGAGACATTAGACTTGGGTGTTATTCAACTTTTTCATGTTGAACAAACAAGTCTTGATCTTGCCCTTGCTTAGTAGGCTTCTTGCAGTTCTATATTCTTGACAAACTCTAGTTTACACACTGGGGATGTCACCTTGAGTCATCATTTGATCTATCATGCCTTTATCCCACTTCTCTTGGTGTTTTGGACTACTGTTGCCACCTCCCCTGTCTTTTGGCCTTGATGGCTGAGGTGGATGGAAGGGCTGATGCATTTAAAGGGCCCTTCAGACTTCAAGAGCCAGATCTTGTGGCAAGACCAGATTTACCTGCTGTACCCTTTAAATGGATTGGGTCCCAGAGTGAAATTGTATAATACAGTTACCTAATGCATCAGTCTATTTTTCCTGTTTATAAATTGTCATCTCCTGCTTTTTTCCCCCTCAGCTACTCTGAACATGTTACATTGTATTCACTGGAAATAAAATATTTATATAAGTCCCCTGTAGGTAATTTTCACCCATGTGATAATCCATTGGATAGAAGCAGGGGAAGCATGTTACCTCAGTGCAGTTCAGATTAAATAAATTTAGAAACTATATGAAAAACATATGTCACCATTTTCATACAGACCTACCAGCTTCTTCCATCATTATAAAACATAGTTTGGGTGGTTTGATAGGATACAATAAAGAGAGTCAATATTTTCAGTATTGGAAAAACACAAGCTGTTTATGCTTCTCATTTTTCCTCCAGCTGTGGAGATTCTTGCTGACATAATACAGAACAGCACACTTGGAGAGGCAGAGATTGAACGGGAAAGAGGAGTGATCCTTCGAGAAATGCAGGAAGTGGAGACTAATTTACAGGAAGTTGTCTTTGATTATCTGCATGCCACAGCCTATCAAAACACAGCACTGGGACGGACCATTCTAGGACCCACAGAGAATATCAAGTACACCTCATTTCTCTGTATTTCTATTACTTCCGTAGTAGCACAGTTCTGAAGCAACAAATTTTAATTGGGGACAATGTTCCCTCTAATTTTCCACCTGGGCAGTGTGGAGGCTCCGCCCGTGCATGTGGGATTTCGGCCTCAACCGGAACCAAATGGATGACAACACTGGCTGTGGGTGCGTGGCACCAATGCAGCATTGCGTGGCCATGCACTTGCACAGCTTAGAGGGAACATTGGTTGAGGCACAACTGAGAGAAGCACTGTGTTGGAGCATTTCTGCACAATTCATTTCTCAGCATGAAAAATACGGTTGTGGTGCATATTCCACATGCCCTTCTTCAAAGTTTTGAGACTTCTGACGTAGAGTGCCCCCCATAGTATGTTTTATATCTGTAGAAAATACACTGTTAGTAGACAACAAATTAATTTCTATTGTAACTGATGTGGTATAACTTTCTGAACATAGTTGGTGACATAATAAATAGTGGACAAGTCAAATTTTTCAGATTCTACGAGATGCTATTATTTGATCAGGTATATGCTGTATTTTCATTTTTTAACAAAACAGTTTAATTAGGGATTTGGGAAGTTAGGAATTAAAATTCATTTTATAGCAAATTGTCTTGTACAAGTTGGTGAGAAGCAGCACCCTTCCTTCTGTGAATAACACTTTTTTGCCAATCTGTTGATAGGTCTATTAATCGCGATGATTTGGTGAAGTATATTACAACCCATTATAAAGGACCTAGAATGGTGCTGGCTGGTGCTGGAGGTTTGTATGATAGATACAATGTATGTGGATCTTTATGTTGTGGTAGGGATAATATGGATGGTAGGCTCTTTTTTGATTGCCTCTGCTCTGGTCAGCATTATGTAAGACTTTTAAAATACGTGTAGTTCTAACAGTGGGTGCTCTTGGACCTAACCAGGGACCCGAATATAGCCTAGACTTCAATTTTATATAATGTTCTGTATGAAGAAAAGTGTACAGATTTAGAAAATGTGAGTTAAAATCCTGTTTAGCTTTTTACAAATGCATGACATTTTGGGCAAAAATAAAGGGAGACAGAGAGAACACACTGCAAAATATTGTGGCAATTAAATACAATTACTTCAGTCCTTTTGTAGTTCAAAATCCACTTCTGCAGACATTGGAAGTGGATTTAATCCATATACGAATACCGCCATCTGTAGTTACAATACCTTGTGAATTGCAGAGACACATATATATGTTGACGTTACTGAAGGTGTTTTCTTCTAACCTTGTTAATACCTTTAATTCAGTGGAGATGGGGAAACAAGTTTGTTCTCAGAATACAGATCACACTGAACTTAATATTCTGTTTCTTATCATATCCTGAAAGATGTCAAGTGCTTAGTTTGGAGTTTTGTTTCCCCTGTTTCTTGTTATCTGTGTGCCTTCTCTAGACTGATTGGAGACATGTATGCCTCTGACCTTGCTCTTCCTGAGATAGGTGTTATTGTTCTCCTGGTGGGGGAACTTCTCATGTCCGCTATTTCCCTAAATGGAGCATTGTTATTCTGGCGTCTTAGGATATAGATTGAAAGAAAGGAATATATTGAAATATATGTATTAATGGAAAAAGGAGAAATTTAATTTTTCTCACATCACTAATTAACTACAATTCAACAATGCAATGGATGCATTTTTATTTATATATGTATAAATTGCCACTAGTATTCTGGCTGTGCTCTTAGCATTAGTGCATTAACTTATCCAGGATTAGAAACAAGATGTAAAGAATCTGAAAAGATAAAATACCATATTTTTCGCTCCATAAGACACACCTTTCCATAAGACGCACCAATTTTTAGGAGAAGAAAACAGGAAAATATAATCTGTTTTCTTCGCTCCATAAGACACACAGACTTTCCACCCCCCTGTTTTATGGGAAAAAAGTGCATCTTATGGTGCGAAAAATACAGTAGGCTGACACTGTTTAAAAAAATATTATTTATTTATTTATTTATTTATTTGATTTGATTTATACCCCGCCCATCTGGTCTAAAAGACCACTCTAGGTGGCTTCCAATATAATAAAAACAGTGAAATAATACAAAAAACACAAACAATTACATAAATCATATTGTAATAAACAGAATACAACAATAGAATAGAAAATACATAAGGAGAGAATAAACAGAAAAGTCAGATATTAACTGGAGGGAAAGCCTGAATATATAGCCATGTTTTTAATTGACTTTTAAAAGTGTCCAAAGTGGGGGCTGCACAGATCTCAGGAGGGAAATTGTTCCAGAGGCAAGGAGCCACGGCCGAGAAGGCCCGGTTTCGTGTCCTTTCTTTCCGGGCCTCCCTCGTCGTTAGGCTCCTCATCCTCACCTCCTGGCTCATGCGGGTGATCTGAGTAGATCTAGGTGGAAGCAGGCGTTCTGTCAAGTATCGAGGTCCTAAGCCGTTTAGGGCCTTACATGTAAGCATTAACACTTTGAAGTCAATGCGGAAATGGATGGGCAGCCAATGCAGCATGGCCAGAGTAGGAGAGATATGTTGGTATTTTCTCACTCCAGTGAGGAGTCTGGCCGCCGTCCATTATAATTTTTAAAACATTGTTTACCCTTAAAAGTTATTGTCATTTATAAATTCTAAACTGTAGTGCTTCATGCATCATTGGCTGTGTGTATTTCCACTAAATTTTAGTTGTGTGGCATTTATTTAGGAGTGGCTCATGAAGAGTTGCTTGAATTAGCAAAGCATCATTTTGGTAACTTGCCATCCGTGGAGAAAGGAGGAGCCCCAGCCTTGCCGCCTTGCCAGTTCACAGGCAGTGAAGTAAGTTTATGACTTCTTTTTTTCAGGCAAACTTCCCTAAGAACAGGAAAAATGACTGACAGTGTAGTTGCAATACAAAGCATCTGGTTAGCTGAGCTATGATTTTGAATACAAAAACTGCTAAGAATACGCACAAGAGTATAGGTTGTCAGCATCTGCCTAAATAACATGAGTCATTCAGAGCAGCATTATGTTTCAGCACTTACGACATTTCTAGCATCTGTGCCTTGTGCTATTTTTTAAATTGTGAATTTGATCTTGCGTTTTCTATCATATTGTGAATATCTTTAGTTTCTTAATTGGGCTATTGGAGTGGAGATAAATGTTTTACTGTTGGTCAGTTTATTCTGAAAAATGTTTGGATATTTCTTTTGCTGTTCCGTTTGAAATAGGCATGTGCTCTGTCTTCAGACAAATGTGCAGAAGCGGGCCAAATCAGAAATAATTGTGCAGCTCCAGAGTAACTGTGGGATGGAGCAAGTAGCTACTCATGAGACAGAAAAAAGAAACAAAAGGAACTGATAAAGCCAACAAATCTGATTGTGAAGGAGAAACTGAAGCCTTGGGATGTAAGAAAATGTATCACACTTTATTTCAGTTTTGATTGCAATCTATTGCAGCTGGTTACAGACCTAAAAGGGGGGGGCGGGGGGGGAGAAAGCAGGCCATAAATTCAGGCCAAAATGCATTGGGGGCAATTTTAAATTGAAATCAAGTGTGATACATTTTCTTACATTCTGAGACTGCAGTTTTTCCTCCACAATCAGACTCATGAGGTAGAGCAGTGCCATCATGGATCCTTCATATTTCATTTGGCATTTCTGGGTCTAATTTTTTTAAATCAAAGACATCCAGTGATTTGAAATGAGATGGAAATCGAAAAGACTGAACTGCCCCCACCAAGGCACAGATGGAGGTCCCTTCACAGTACAGTATTTACCTTTGTGCAACTGCTTTGCCAGGCATTTTGCGTAGCTCTAGAGTGAAGTGAAAAATTTGAATCTGGAGAGGATTTGCATTCTGGATGTTTTCTTCTTATTTACTGTATTTTTTTCCATGTATAAGATACCGTTATATAGACAACCCCCACTTTTCTAACCCAAAATTAAGAAATCTAAGTGGGGCTTAGCAAGTGGCGGGGGAAAAGGATCAAAGCTCTGCAGGGTAGCTTTGATCCCTGCTTCCCTCTCCACTTGTTTTTGTTCTCTCCTCAGCTTTCTTCCATGTATAAGATGACCCTCAATTTTTAGTCAAAAGATTTTAGACAAAAGTCTAGTCTTATACACAGAAAAATGTGGTAATTGATTTAGGTTGCTAAGGAGTTTACTACGTTTGTGTGTGATTGCTACTGTAGATGGATTCCTGTGTTTCTTATTATGAACTTTTAAAGTTTATAATGGCTAGGGCAGAATTAGTGCTCCAGGGTCTGTCTTTCCTCCCCCTGCACACCCTCCACCTTTTTTTCCCTTGTGGTGGTGCAAATAACATGTTGGCTGCTCATTGTTTAGTTGCTGGAAGAGTACTTGTGAGCTGAGTAAAGATCCTGGTATCTGCACGTCACTAAAATCTGTGGCACAATATAGCTGCCACTCCAGTCCACAACCGATTGTATTTTCCCTATTTGCAGGAATGGGGATTTTGATGTAGATCTGGAAATCAAGAAAGACTGTCATGGAGTAGATCAAAGTATCACCAGAAGGGCACCACTTGGAGCACCATTTGGGCACAAAGTGGGATAGGAGACTATTGCACATCCCTAGTTCAAAACCATGTTGGCTGAAGCATTAAGTAATATTTTTAAAGCCCTGTTTGTTGTACTTGATCAGATTCGAGTGCGAGATGATAAGATGCCTTTTGCACACATTGCAATTGCTGTTGAAGCAGCTGGCTGGTGTCATCCGGACACTATTCCTCTCATGGTGGCAAATACCCTGATAGGCAACTGGGATCGTGCTTTTGGAGGTGGTGTGGTAAGTTGGCTTGACAGTTACTATTCAGCTCGGATAAAGGATTATCACTGTATTGGTAATTTCCATAATGGCACCTTGGAAAATATTAGCTCAGATTTAACTTTTTCACTCCACACTTGTTTCCCTGACAAATTCCAGTCCTCTCCCTGTTGCTATCAGCCCTAGAGAAAAATGTTTTCTAATAGCAACTCTTGAGGAAAGTATTCTGAAAATACTCTGCATTGTTCTCCACAGCAGAAGTGAACCAAACAAACTGAGATTTCTTTAACTTCAAATGCCTATTGAAATAATCTGTTTGGGGCTTTACTTTTGTAGATTCATTTAAACCAGGGCTGGGCTATTTGTAGCTCTTCATATACAGTGGTGCCCCGCAAGACGGGCGCTGCGTTTCATGACAAAATTGCATCACGAACTTTTTGCGATCGCAAAAGCAATCGCAAAACGATGTTCCCTATGGGAGAATTTCGCTTTGCAATGATCGGTTCCCTGCTTCAGGAACCGATCATCGCAAAGTGATGATTTTTTAACAGCTGATTGGCAGTTTCAAAATGGACACCGGGTAAACAAAATGGCCACCCGCTGTGTTTTTGCACGGTTTCCTCGCTGCACAGGCAACGAAAATGGCCATGCTATGGAGGATCTTCGCTGGACGGGGAGTTTGAAGCCCCTAGGAATGCATTAATCTGGTTTTAATGCGTTTCTATAGGCTTTTAAAAATTGCATCACGTTTTCGTTCTTCAGCGATTTCGCTGGAACGAATTAACGTCGTGATGCGAGGCACCACTGTATTGTTGACCTCCAGTACTGGTCATCCTCGACTGGTGGCCATGGTGGCTGTAGCTTAATGAAGTTGGGCTCCAAAAGTAGCTAAAGGATCATAGATTGCCCACCCTTCATTATACTCTGGCTGACAGATCATCCCGCCCTTTTGCAGAGTAGATAGGCAATTATGAAGAAGAAAGGAAATACATATGCAGGGAAAAAATCTAATTGTCTAAAACAGGGGTCTCCAAAGTATGGCCTGCGTCCACACCTGACCTGCCTTCTTTTTATCTAGCCCATGTGTGCAGATGGCCGTGTGTGCACTTATGCGTTCCTTCAGCCCTCGAAAATATGGAAAATATATTTTATGCAGCCCTCACTGTGAAAAGTTTGGAGACCCCTGGTCTAAAATGATGGGTGACCTTCATTTCTTAGCTGTGTGATATTAAACGGATCTGTTCTACCAGCCCAAATGATGTTTCTAATATATTTTTACAGAATCTCTCCAGTAAGCTTGCTCAAGGTGTTTGTCAAGAAAACCTTTGTCATAGTTTCCAGTCCTTCAACACCTGTTACACAGATACTGGATTGTGGGGAGTCTATATGGTCTGTGAAGGAACCACTGTAGAAGACATGATATACTTTGTTCAGAGGGAATGGTAAGGGTATCAGTTTTTCACAAAAGTTCATTTCTGAATACAGTATGTACTCAAATGGAAGCAGCAAACTTCCCAAGGAATGATACTATGTTTACATGATTATCGTTCACCTAGTGTCAAATCTTCAAAATATTGATTTTAAACTACTTATGTTGCACATTAAAACTTAGTAAGTAAGCGACATCCAATTGTAGTCAAGTTGCAAGTTCTCTTTTCAGCAGTATATTTTTGTGCAATGGATGTGGTGTTTCACTTGCAGACATAATGCAGGTGCTTTTAAAAAAAGCAACACCCTTGCACTGCCATTAATGTGTTCATGAGTTTAGAACCTGGTGGTAGGTCACTAATTGCAGGCTTGAGCCTATTTTTCAGACTTGTGCAGCTTATAGAATAAGTAACTCATTACATATTCAGTCGGAAGGCTTTCTTTTGACTTTGACTGTGCCAGCTGCATGTTCCAAGAACTATTTTAGGGTTTTAAAAGACTTATGTAACATTGAACAAAAGTGGCAAATATTCCACTGCTCTCTTTCAGGATGCGACTGTGCACTAGCGTTACTGAGGGTGAAGTGGCACGTGCTAAGAATCTTCTAAAAACCAACATGTTGTTGCAGCTGGATGGTATGAGTTATTTCATTCCCTTTTTTACATGTCCCGTAATTAATTAGTCTGCACACCTGCTAAGAATGTCTATTCCTAGGTTCCACTCCCATTTGTGAAGACATTGGACGACAAATGTTGTGTTACAATCGTCGAATCCCAATTCCTGAACTTGAAGCAAGAATTGATGTAAGGAGCATAATAATTTCATTTTATTTTAAACAGATTTCTGGGACAGCTATTAGTGGTTGTCAAGTATGCACTGAAATTCTGTGAGTTTATTTTCTGAATATTTCAGCTTTCTAGCATTCCTGTTCCTTAAATTTTAAAGTAGGTGGGCAGTGTCTGCTGAAATTGCACAAGAGTTTTAACAACAGTGCAGTCTTGTGGTCGTTGGATAGAATATATAGGAGCCATTCGTCCAAGGACAAAGAGGGCTCTGATATGGGAGGAGGAGACCCAGTCTCAGATGTTCCTGTCATGCAGGGTTATGCTCAGCTGCAGTTCCTATTGCTTTCACATCACACTTTTATCTGGAGGGGAAATAATACACAGTATGCTTAGATTACCAAGGCCCAGGATTTGCAATATTTAAAAGTCTTTCAACATGCCACTCTGTACCCCAGCTGATCTACATGATTTCATTTGAGGTGCTTATAATGAAAATACATTTTGAAAAACAATACTACCTTACAAAGATATTTTCCATGTCAAAGCACCGTAACTTAGAATACTAACAGTCAAGTTGTAAAAATTCCCAGAGTTGCATGCTGAGTTTCAGTGACTACATTTCTCGCTCTTTATACACAACGAAATCAAAAATTCATTTTTTTAAAAAAACTTGAACTCTTAACTTTCATACAGGATGCAGCTTTTTTGGTGAGAAATGTTACCTATTCATGTACACAACAGAAACACACTTGAGTGTAATGAGTGGCTTGCTTGCTATTGGAAGTAAGATGTTTTCATTACTGTGTAAAAGCATGAAAAAATAAAACTTGAATTGTATTTCATATTTTAGGCAATTAATGCTCAAACTATCAGAGACACCTGCACAAAATATATCTATGATAAGTGCCCTGCAATTGCTGCTGTAGGTAAGTTGTCACGATTTAGCATTTTTAAAAAATGTTTAATGACCTTGCACTTTAGTACATATATCTATTTTAATTGCTGCCTTTTTAAAAACTACAGGACCACTTGAACAGCTCCCTGACTACAACAGCCTCTGTAGTGGTATGCAGCAGCTTCGTGTGTAATATTTACCTGAAACCTTCCTAGAGGCTAAAGGGATGGCTCCCAGCTTTCTAGACTGGCAAACCGATTCCTTCTGTTCACCTAAACCCTAACTTTGATGCTCCACAAACCAAGTATGCTACTTGCTTGGAAGAGAACCCTTTAAAAACATACAAGGTTCAACAACATTTTGTTCCAAGGCTGGTGATGCTAATGATTCCGAATTAGACTGAAAACCAACATAACTAAATCTGTAAAGAAATACTGAGAATTGGACAAGTATCTATAAAGAAGAAACACCACATTGTGTATTTGCATTTTTATTATAAAACAAAACACAAAGATTGTTATTTGAAATTTCATTTCTTTGTTTTAGCAGCATTCACTACTTGCTCTTGGGCAGCCTTCTTAGCTTTAACCATTTCAACAAGTTCCTAGAATATGAGGGGAAAAAAACAATGTTCATATTAAGTTTATTTTTAATCTAGTACAATTCTGATAGCTGACTAGAACAGCTAGTAAGAATAATCAGTTCATGGCAATTCTAAACCAAGGGTCCAATAGTCAAATTCAAAAATGTTTGTTTCAACTCATGCATCTCTAGTGAAAATGCTGCAATCTAAACATTGTTTTTTAATTATGTAAACTGCCTTGGGTCCTTTTTAAGGAAAGGTGGGGTAAAAATATTTTAAATAAATACATAAAAAAAATCATGGTAACATGCAGGTACTGTACTTCAGTCAGAAAACGTGAATCATTCCCCTAAATCCATTTTATACAAAGGGATACAAAATCTGACTTTCAGCATAAGCTTGATATAAACCATAATGTGTTGCGCTTTTTTTGGGGTACTCTTGTTAGGGAAGGGAGTACAATAGGCTTGCACACACTCACCCCATCTCTGAAAATATTTATCCTAAAAGATTTTTCCCCTGAATCTACCTCCCCCCCCCTTGTATCCTTTTGTACCAAAAAAGAAAAAAGAAAAAAAAGAATGTATTTTTAAAAAATGGAGTGTACATGAAGCAGCCAACATGACGGGGATCCCAACACACTGCAGAATTACTCCCTATATTTTCTAGAGCAGGGGTCCCCAATCTTTTCTGAACCATGGACCAGTTAAAAAAAAAAAAAAAAAAAAAAAAAAAAAAAAAAAAAAAAAAAAAAAGAATGTATTTTTAAAAAATGGAGTGTGCATGAAGCAGCCAACATGACTGGGATCCCAACACACTGCAGAATTACTCCCTATATCTTCTATAGCAGGGCCCCCAACCTTTTCTGAACCGTGGACCAGTTGGGGGGTGGGGCACCCCCCCACTCATGGGTGGGTAGAGCGCGCTTGTGGGTGAGTGGGGCACACTCGCATGCAGGGGAGAGTGTGTGCAGGAGGGTGGGAGATCTGTCTTCATGGCCTGCTCTAGCGAAGGCCAAGGACCAGGGTTCGGGGACCCCTATTCTAGAGGGTATAAGCAAACATTTTTAAATGTCTGGGGATTGTGGGAGGTCACATTTGTGTGTCCAGAGGGTCTGCATTTGGCCCACATTTTGTCCATTTCTGACTTAAAGGGAAGATTTAACAACCATAAAAATAATGCAAGACAATGACTTAAAGGGAAGATTGATGATTCTTTCCATCTCCAGCAGTGGTATAACCTGATCTGTCACTGGCTATTCTTAGCAAAGTACTGTGAGTTAGGCTCATGATTTCTCATCTCAAGAACAGCTCATGTTTCTAATGGCACAGAAGTAAGATTGAAGTGCTGATGTGGGAAAGGAAGAGAGAATCTTTTCTCCTATATTGTACTGCTTATTGCATACATAATATTCCTACAGTAATCAGAAAGTAGTCATCTACCTTATATCGCTTCATGCAGTCTTTTTTAGATCGGCCTGGAACAGAAGCTGCTATTTTTTCCCATCTTTCTGGAGTATTTACTGGGTATGTCTTCAGAGCTTGTTCTAAAAGTTTTTGTTCTTCTGTTGTCCAAGGAGATGAATCTGTAAATGGTGCTGGTAAAAGCAATTTAGAATCACAAATGTGTGTTTAAATGAGAGACTTAATGAAAGGTAATTATGTAAAGCTTTTACTGAGCAATCTTTTAGCACCCATTCCCAAATAGATGCCTTTACGCCAGACTCTAGAGTAGGAACAGGAACTCTTCAGCCTCCACGTATTGGTCAAAATAGCTGGAGGACCAAAGGTTCCCCACCCCTGATCCATAGCCATTTTGCATTTCAATAATTGAAAGTTTTAGATTTCTGCCCAAACAGTTAACATCATCTTCCACTAGCTATTCTGTGGCCAAAATCTTGTTGCTTAGAGTAGTAAATCACATTAGAGTAGGCCCACTGAGTCAAGGGATTTGGTGAGTCAATCCTCCATGAGCCCCACTGATTCAGATGGGCCTACTCTTAACTGCAACTTACTGTGCTAAAGCAAGTCACAGTGAGAACTGGACCATTTGAATTAATGGAACTTACAGATGAATTGGTCACTAAATCTGCATTGACTTAGTGGGCCTACTGTAGTGTGATTTATTATGTGAAACAGCAAAACTTTTGCCTGTGCACCAGAACCTATGAATATAAAGAAGCCTCTCTATTAGATATGGTAGCCTCAGGATCTTGATTTAGTTAGCTGTGACTGTAAACAGAAGCAGCAGAACAGATATTGAGCACATAGATCTAGCATTTCTTCTGATCCTTGGATATCCAGTCTCTCACTGGGCTTTGGTAGTGGCATGCAGATGGAAGATTTTTACAGGTATGCAGTGTCTGAGTAGACAGCATGGTTCTAATCAAGCATGATGCAGGGGTAGGATACCTCACATGGGGAACAAATTTCTGAATAGTTCTCCATTTACCTTCGAAACGTTCAGACGGTGCAGCACTGTCTGCCTGAGGTACAACTCCATGCTCTTTTTTAAACTTATCAAAAGCTTTCTTGTTTATGTCATCCTTTTGATGAGGATCTAAGATAAGATAAGAAAACTGGTTAGGTATTTCATCTTCCATTTTAAGTAATCATGTCAGAACCAATATTTTACACCCCGCCCCCCCAAAAAAGAAAGAAAAGATAAGAGGTGGTGATTAAAATTAAACCAGGAGCCTTGTGGTGCTGTGGTTAAATTGCTGTACTGCAGCCAAAACTGATTGTGACCTGGGGTTCAATCCCAGGTACCAGCTCAAGATTGACTCAGCCTTCTATCCTTCTGAGGTTGGTAAAATGAGTACCCAGTTCAAAGGGGGGGGGCAATGTGTACATAATTAACTTGTAAACTGCCCAGAGAGTTCTAAGTACTATGGGGCAGTATATAAGAAGAATACTTTTTTAAAATTAAGTTTTTTACAGTTGGTGCTTAAAAATCAAACAATACAGGGCTTGAAAAATTGTAGAATGTCTCACCAGTCAGTCAAAAATTTCACCAGTCATCATATCCGGACTATAATCTTGCAATTTATTGGGACTAGGAATCACTGATTTATACCCTCAGACTTGGGTTGCTTTATTACCTGCGTGCCTGTGGGGTCATGAAGCTTGTATTTTGAATGCCTTTCTTTTGAATGTCTCCAGCAAAAGTAAAACTGAAAGCAAAAGCTCCCGGCCTCTTAAGGAGCCACGGTTCCCTCCCACCCCAGGATGTGTCCTTGTTTGGTTGAAATTGGGAGCAGAGAATCTCCATATTCTCCAGCATGGGACTACTCTACATTCTCCTGCAGAGCTATATGTCTGTGTGCCGCTCAAACTCTCTTCTTGCGAGAAGAGGGCAGTTTTGCTTTTGCAATGGGAAGGGGGAGGGGAGGACTGCAGCATTAGAGAGAGACAGGTAGAGGGGAAGGAGGCAGGCAGGGAGAGAGCTGTGACTCATCCAGCAGCATTTTTCACTCGTCACAGATGAGTGAATGAGTGCATTTTTCAAGCCCTGACAATATAGTTCAGTGTATGTCACGAATTATGGAAGTCTGGACATACTTGGTAGTCTAAGCTTTCAAATTTAAACTCTCAGTATTATGACAGTATTTCACCACACCCCAGCCATGGCACCAGCAGCTTTCTCTGTAGTACATTATGGACAACTTGTGCCATGTAATTGTGATAAACTATGGCAGGAAGAGTGACTGTACAAACATTTCCTGCATTGGTGAATCAATGTTCAATGAGATATTACTCAGCAATGACAAATTATTACATGTGTCTTTACCAGTGGCTCCACTATTTGTCTTCCCTAAAGGCAAAGATAGGGCTGAAAAAACAGTTTACTGCTGATTATGTATCAACTGCTTCTCAAAATCAGTATCATAGGAGCCACTTTTCATAGTTTGTTTTGCTAGCAACAATGACACTTTCATTTGATCCCTTATTTTTTCTTCTTCTGGAGGTGACAGTTAAGATGGGATTGTCTCTGCCTGAAGCAGATTGCTTTAATCAGTTAACAAGAGATAACATTCAAAGTGGTTACACCTCTCTCGTGAGAAGCAACACTCATATGGTTGTGGTGGGTTTTTCGGGCTCTTTGGCTGTGTTCTGAAGGTTGTTCTTCCTAACGTTTCGCCAGTCTCTGTGGTCGGCATCTTCAGAGGACAGGAGTCAGAACTCTGTGGTCTGGTGCAGTTTGTTTGGATACTCAGATGGTTATCACAATTGTCAAAATGATAAAGTTGGGATGTGGGCACACACCCAGAGCAGTAAACACCCTTAATTCAGTCCTTGGGACTGTTGATTGTGGAGGAAGTCAGTACACCAGCAGAGATTACTGTATGCAAAGAGCAGTGCAGGAGATTTGAGGGGAATTACAGTCCTTTTGTTGCCTCAGATTTAAGGAGGGCAGCAGAATATGGCAGTGATAGCCAAACACATGTATGTTGAATTTACTGGTAAGTAAAATGGAAGCATGCAGACCATCTTACAAAGATAAAGATACCAAGTTTCTGGAGGTTCTTTGCTTTGTTGATGACATCTTTTGCTGTCCGCTTAATTCCCGTAGTAGAGTGCAAATTCATATAATTGGCGATAACTTCCCACCTAAATTAGCACAAGGAAAACAAAGACAATCCTTGAAACAATGTGCTAACATTTACCATTAATTGGCTGACCAGATTAAACAATATTAACCACCAATAAACATCTTACCTGGCAAGAAACCTTTTATCCAAGAATTGTATTATTTGCTGGATGCAGAATGTCTTTGAATAAAAGACGTGCATCTTCACAAAGTAAGTTTTGACTTTTAGTTGTTCTTAATGCCACATTTATGTATTTAACAATGTCAAGTACAACTATTCAGGTACTTGGAATGAACATTTAAGCAAAGTGGACGGTTGAAGAAGAAAAGAGATTCCCGTATT